AGAAGTGTGATACTTCGATAATTGGCACACACTCTCCGGTCCCCTTTTTTAAAAATGGGAACCACCACCCCGGTCTGCCACTCCACAGGCACTGTACCCGATGCCCACGCGACATTGAAAAGACGTGTCAGCCATGACAGTCTGACAATGTCCAGAGCCTTCAGCATCTCAGGGCGAATCTCGTCCACACCTGGCGCTTTGCCACCGGGGAGCTTCTTAACTACCTCGGTGACCTCTACCACGGATATGGACGCAGAAGCCCCCGAGTCTTTAGGCTCTGCCCCTTCCTCAGAGGACGTGTTTACCGGGTTCAGGAGTTCCTCGAAGTGCTCCTTCCACCGCTCGACGAGGTCTCCAGTCTGGGTCAGCAGTTCTCCTCCCCGACTGTACACAGCCTGGGAGGGTCCCTGCCTCCCCTGTCTGAGGCGTCGGAAGGTTTGCCAGAACTTCTTCGGGGCTGACCAAAAGTCCTTCTCCATGGCCTCCCCGAACTCCTCCCACACCCGAGTTTTTGCGGGTTTTGGGGTTGCTGCCGCGACAGGCACTAGTGACCTTCTGGCCACAGCTCCTAACGGCTGCTTCTGTGATGGAGGCTTTGAACATGGACCACTCTGACTCCATGTCCCCAACCTCCCCGGGATGCAGGAAAAGCTCTTCTGGAGGTGGGAATTGAAAATACCATGGACAGGGGCCTCTGCCAGGCGTTCCCAGTTCACCCGTACTACGCGTTTGGGTTTACCAGGTCTGTCCGGCAGCCTTCCCCGCCATCAGATCCAACTCGCCACCAGGTGGTGATCAGTTGACAGCTCTGCTCCTCTCTTTACCTGAGTGTCCAAAACATACGGCCGCAGATCTGATGATACGACTACAAAGTCAATCATCGACCTTTGGCCTAAGGTACTCTGGTACCAAGTACACTTATGAGCAACCTTATGTTCGAACATGGTGTTTGTTATGGCCAATCCGTGGCTAGCACAGAAGTCCAAAAACAAAACACCGCTCGGGTTCAGATCAGGTAGGCCGTTCCTCCCAATCACGCCCCTCCAGGTTTCACCGTCATTGCCCACGTGAGCATTGAAGTCCCCCAGGAGAACGATGGAGTCCCCAGGCGGCACCCCTTCCAGGACACCAGCCAGTGACTCCAAGAAGGCCGAATACTCCGAACTGCTGTTCGGTGCATAAGCACAAACAACAGTCAGAGTTTTCCCCTCTGCAACACGCAGTCGCAGAGAGGCGACCCTCTCGCTCTCCGGGGAGAACTCCAACAGGGCGGCGCTCAGCTGGGGGCTTGTGAGTATAGGAGGTTTCCCTGTTCCGGGCGAGGTGGTGGCAGTCCTTTTTTTGTTCTTCATTGGGGTCTTCTGAATCGCTCTTTGTCTGGTCCCTCCCCAAGAACCAATTTGCCTTGGGAGACCCTACCAAGGGCTAATGCCCCGGACAACATAGCTCCCAGGATCACAGGGACACTCAATCCCCTCCACCACGATAAGGTGGCGATTCATCGGGGGGCCAGTTAGTAACTGCATACTGTTAAATGACAACATTTTTCCAACAATAAACCACACTCTGAATATAAACTGTACTAAATGCAAACAATGTTAAACAAACAAAAATAATAATGTAGGTATTTATCAACCCACTGATGGCTCTGTATGCCACATATAGTTTAAGGTGTTACCAGGAGTCTATCCAGTCACTGTGATATTTTAACTGCGTCTCCAACTAGAGCAAACCTGAACATTTAGATATTTTTCAGCCTACCATCGTCCTTCACAGCTTGTGCTCCAGGCAGGACACAGGTTTACCAGACAGGTATTAGAATCTAGAACCTTCTCCTTCCACTTTGTGAGTGTCAGAGATAAACTCTAGGTAAACCCTAAAAGGTGAACCTGATTGTGACGACTGAATGGAAAACGTTTCTGTCAGTTCCACGTCTGGACTGTTCTTCTGGTTCCTCTCTTAGAGTTATGTTCATTATTCTTTCCCAGAATGCAAACTCACCTGTTGACTCACCTGTCCTTCCTCCTACAGGTGAGCTTCAGCCAATGGCCAGCAGTGCCTCAGTGGCCTCATTTGTCATCGCCGTGGAAACGGGCCTGTCAGACGAGGAGGGGTCCATGGAGCCTCAGCTGGGGGACAAGTCCTGAGAGCAAAACCAAACCAGAACCAGGCCAGAACAGACTTCAGCAGGCCTGAAGGTCCATCAGCGACTTGACCTAAACTATCCAACCCAAATCCGCACTGAGCATGCTCTGAGCTCAGCCCAGGATCTGGTTCTGGTCACTGGTTCCAAGTGGAAACTTAATCCAGAACCAGCGTCAGGGTTCCGCTGGGTTCTTCTCTTAGAACATGTAATACGCAATGCCAAACTCGCCAACTGGCCTGGACTCCAGGTGGACTCGAACCCGGCTGGAACCAGGATCGAGACCTGGACGAGTTTAAACATAGAAGATCTGAATTGAATAAAGAACACCTCAAACGGACCTGTTAGATTTGGGCTCAAAGGAACCTGAATGAGCTGGTGTGGTTTTTGGTTTCCCGGGTTTTCCTGTTTCAAAGTGTCGGTCCGTTTTCTGTTTCTTCCTCCTCGTTCGGTCCGTTTGTGAAACTCTCGGTGTCCTGATGAGCTTCACAGTCACAGAAAGAGGAGAATGAATCTGCCGGTTGGGTTTCTGTGAGCGACCCGGTCCAGGACTCTGAGTTCTTTGTTTTGCACTCAGGAGGACCTTTGGTGGAATCTTCAGCTTGTCCCGGTTGGTTCGACCAGCTAGCCTGACTAGCTCAGCTCATTTTGATTTGTGTTGTTTCCGTCAGGACTTTTATTTGAGACGGATGCAGCAGCTGCTCTGAGCTGCAGCTTCTTCTCCTGGAGCTGTGCTGGTGGACTCCCAGCAGCTCTACCACAGTGTTGGTTGTTTCCTCTTTTTGCCGTCTCTGTCTCTGTTCTGTTGGGTTCTTCATCTTTCTGGGTTAGGGCTCATCTATCTGGCAGTGGTTCAGACGCTCTGCTGTGTTTCCAACAGGGTCCCATCACACAGGGCAGAACCGGTGCGTTTAGATCAGTCCTTCTGCAGCCCACTGCTCTACGGCCCGGTCCAGACCGCAGCATGGACGCCCAAGTTGGTTTCAGTAAAGTTCATTTAAACAAAAGGCAGCTTTTGGCTGCAGGTGCTCAGATGAGCTGCGAGCAGTGTTTACAGGACGTCCACCAATCGGACCGGTTCTGTTTCCTCTGCAGGATCCATCAGCTGAACTCAGTGACCAGAACAAAGACAGCAACAGTCACTCTGATGACCAGTTCATCCGTCTGAGTCATTTCTTCATCAAAACAGCCTAAATTCTGTCTCCAGCGTCTTCAGGGTGAGTGTGTTCTGGGTTCTGCTCTGTGACGGTCAACTGAACATCTTTGGACTAAACCAGACGTCTGAGGAACTCTCACCCATAAAACTTGTTTTTGTGGCAACTGGAACATTTTTTTAATGTCTGACTGCAGGAACCATCCCTGTAGAACCTTTCGAACCTGCAGAAGTTCTGTGAAGGCAGTTTTCAGGGGAGAACACCAGGTTTGGTTCTTCTGAGCGGCCCAGAAACACTGCTGCGAGGGTCACAGTGCTGATTGGCTGAGGACAGTGTGTTCCATCCTCTGTAACATCACCATCACCAACGTAAAGTTCTTCATTTGTTCTGACAGAACAAACCTCCAGTGTTCTGGTTCCTACATAGAATTGGAGTTAATCCAGGAACTCTTGGTTCTGGTCTCTGAGTTCATGTTTGGATCTGCAGTGGAAACAGAAGGACGATCAGCAGGTTGACCCTGTAGACCTTCTCCTGAGATTCCATCCATCCATCTTCTCCACATGTTTTATCCTCTGTAGGGTGTCAGGGGGCGGAGCCTATCCCGGCAGATTCACCTGGACAGGTAACCAGTCTATCACAGGGCTACACTTAGAGACAGCCTCCTGAAGAGTTGTCTGTTCTGTAGGTTCTGTTTTCCATCACAGCATTCAGGATCCAGTTTAACCTGGACACGTCCAACGTGGATCAGACTGCAGACGGTTCCTGATCCTGTGTGGCTTCAACGCTGGGATCAGAACCTGAACAGAAGCTGATTCCAGCTGAGACAGACCCCGACCACTCCAGTCTGTTTCACGCTGCCTTTTCAAAGACAGGCTGACCTTTAACCCGACAATCAGAGATCAGAGCTTTGACCTGTGGATCCTTTCTGGGAACTTCAGTGACCCAAGAGTTGGATCTGCAGCTGGACCACCACAGCAGAGGGCTGCACTACGAAGCCACATGAGTGGGTCAGCAGGTGTGTTGGGCCTAAAGCCCGAGTTCTCAGTATCACGAAGGTGGCTCTCTTTTTACCTGCTAGGTCTCCATGGGAACTGATGCTGTGGAACTAGGTCTCCATGGTAACTGATGCTGTGGAGCTAGGTCTCCATGGGAACTGATGCTGTGGAACTAGGTCTCCATGGGAACGAATGCTGTGGAGCTAGGTCTCCATGGGAACTGATGCTGTGGAGCTAACCCGGTCCAGATTCTGTTCAGAGTTCCAGAGCGTCTCCCTTTAACCAGACGGGTTCCTGACTGTTATTTATGAGCGATCCAGACTCTCAGCTGAGGGAATGTGTTTATCTGCTAACATGCTGAGCTGTGTGTCACTAATATCACTGAATGAAGCCGTGGAGCTACAGCATCACACTGTAAACATCACGTTGCCATGGGAACCAGACGTGTATTTAGTTGATCAGAACATGGATCATTCTGCTGGTATTGATCACAGAGAACATCCAATCAGTAACATTCATTCACTCTGATTGGGCCAAAAGTTAAAGTGATTTCCTGCATTCTGGGACAGAGTCAGACCTGAATGAGCTTCAGCACCAGATCAGGTTTAAATGTATGAAGGTGAAGTTTAACGTGCAGCTGTCAGCTGGAAACCAGCGGCTGCATCACTAAATATTCTCTATGAACACGTTGAACACTTTCTACCAGCATTCCTGTCTCCACCGTTTACAGTAGCGGCATCATGGTGATGTTCCTCATTGTTCTCCATTAAAACAAGGAGCTGACTGAAGCAGCTGCTCGTGATCGATTCATTCAGGGCAGAAGAAGAGTCACATGACGCCTTAACGCCTCCTTTAATGAGAACAGAGTCTGAAGCAGGAAGCTGGACCTCCTTCATGACACCTGTGGTCTCTGCTGGAGCTTTGGTTCATGTGGAGCCGCTACACAGAGAAAGCCTGGATATGTTGATCTGGCTTCGTAGTTCAGCCCTCTGGTGTAAACGGGTTAATCAACATCACAACACAAGCTGTGAATAAGCCCAACATGTACATAGAAATGTAAATGACTGAGTTCAGCGTCGGCTTCCTGAGAAAGATAAAGTTTGTCGTCTATTTTGATACCAGAGGAGACGTTTATTTTTGTAACGAAGATGCAGAGCTCGTCCCGCTGCGTCTGGATGATTCTCAGTGAGCTGAGCTGTGATCAGATTTCAGTGTTGATTATTTGTGTAATTGTACATACAGACGATGATACGAACCCAGACTACTGTAAACGCTGTTGAGGTTCTGGAGGAGAACAGAGAGAACTGAGCTGAGTGCAGGAGAACCAAAGCTGCACTGATCTGGCTAAACGGGAATAAAACGGGCTGAAGTGAAGCTGTTGTCCTCCAGAGTGACATCAGACGTCAGCATCGGCTTCGTTTAGCTCCAGTTCAGACTAACGGGACCATCATGACAACATTTGGGTCAGTGGAGCCAAGAAGTGCTTCTGTTGCTGGCTGTGGTTCTGCCACTGAGTCAGTGTTCTGTCAGACTCAGAACAGGTTTGTTCCTGTCTCTCTGCTGCCTCCTTGTGGACCAGCCACATCATTAAAGTTTCTGTCCAGCTTTATGTGAAGGAATTCTTCAGTTCACTTCCTGTGTTTGTGCAGGACTGAAAATGGGCCGAACCTAAACCTCCTTTGAGCCCATTTCTGGTGTTTGAGCTGCTGTGACTTGATGTTCCTTCAGTACCGAACCGCCAGCTTGTTTTGAACGTGTCAAAGCTGCAGTTAAACTGGTTAAACTGGTTAATTTCCATTTGGTGCTCTTATTCTGAAACCGCCTCATAAACAGAATACATTCAACATTTCCTGTCAGTGAGAAGGTTTTCTGAAGAACAGTTCTGTTTTTCACATTCTGATATTAAAAAAACAGTGATTGGTACATGTTGGACAGCAGCAGGAGGTTCTGGAGGTCCACATGGTGATCAGTGGAGCTGACAGGAGGTTCTGGAGGTCCACATGGTGATCAGTGGAGCTACAAGATCTTAGAAAGTCTAAAAAGTGGAATGAGTTTTTATTTTGTGGATCAGTTTCCTGCTCCATCTGGTGACCGTGGCTTCGGCGTGGTGTGATTATGGGATGCTGAGTTGATATCATCTCTGAATATCTGAAGCTTCTCCCGAATCTCCGTTCTGTTTCTTTTATTGTTTGTTATGTGGAAGACCGATCCGGTCCAGTGAGTCACAACATGTTGTTCTGAGAAGGTTTCATCCCAAACAGACCTCATGAAGGTCCAGATGCTGAGGGATGGACATGAAACACAGCACCTTGAAATTCTGACAATGACTTGTGTTTGTGACGTCTGGAAACTCGGACAAATGGAAACGGGACCATCGTGTCACTGCCAGTAAAGACGTCTGATTGGTTGTTTGTGTCCCAGAATGCTGTGTTCTGATTGGTTGCTCAGCCTCTTTTGTTGATGCACTTTAAATTCTGTTTTTCTGGAAGCTTCTGGAACGTTTCTTCTTTTGTTCCTGTTCAAACTTTACTTTTGTTTCTTGCTATATTTGACTTTTGCCGCTGGTGGAGACGTGTTGGCCGGTTCTGAGTTCTGACTGGATCGGGCTGATGCTTCAGGTCGATCCTGTTCGTGGGTCATAATGATTCTACTGTTTCATCTTCTCCACTTCTGACGTCAGGCTGAAAGCAGCTGCTGGAAGACGAACCTTTTAGAACGCAGCTGTTTTCAGGTGGATTTAAAAACATTTCAAGGGTTCTGCTGGTGGTCGGTTCTGATTAATCAAAGGTGGAACTTTCGGTCCTTCCAGAGCCGCTGCGCTGCCGGGCCGACGGTGTGGCGTGAGCTCCACCACGTTCTCCAGGTGTTCTGTTGGTGTGACTGTCCTTCATACACGTGTAAATAAAAGATGTTGTTTCTGTGTTTCAGTTGCTGCACGGTCCTGATCCGGACAGAAGTTCAATAAAAAGTTACTGCAAGTCGTTGTTTCTACTCCAGTGTGCTGACTGGGTTTGGTTTTTCCTTGTTACAGAGATTCTGTTTGAACTGAATAATGATCTGATCTGTGGAGCAGAACCGGACCTGGTTCTGTCTTAAACCCTTCAATCACTGTGTTTCAGTTACATGACGTGAACGTTCTGGTCAGTTCTAATCAGACTTTGTTCTGGTGACGGGTTCCTCCATGTCAGCAGACTTCATCACTGTTCTGCATTTTAGAGGAATCTTTGTGGCCGAGGAGCATCTGCTTCTGGTTTCTGGAACGAACAGCGAGACAGAACATCTCAGAAGAATCACAAGAGTCTGAATGTGGACGTTAAGCACCAACATCACTGCCTCCAGATGACCTGAAGGGAAGAAGCAGTTTAAGGAAAGTCACCATTCTGCAGGAGACACAACGGTTCAGCTTTAGTAATGAGAAGATGTTCTGCTCAGCATGGAGGACCCAGAGTCCACTAGGTTCTGCTCACATATTCTCACGTTCTTCACTCTGTTTCCTTCAGCTGCTCTCTGCTGGAGGGGTTGTGCTGCTCCTCCTTTCTCTGGAAAACACCTCGAAGGGCTTCTGGTGGACTCAGACCAGGACTCACACTGTCCAGGTCCTGGTTCCACTTGGTTCTGCTGTAGAAGCTCCTGATCATGTTGTTCTGTGGATGTTCTCCTGCTGGAATGTTCCTCTTCTTCTTCTACAATTTATCTTGTAAAGTTTATTGTATTTAAAGTATTTCCAGATCCCAGGAAGTTCATGGATAATAAATGTGCATCAAAGTGGCGCCTGAAACCCAAAACTGCTGCAGATGGTTCTGGTGGTTCAGATGGTTCTGGTGCTTGTCACAACTGTGATCATATTTATGAACAAACTTCAGAATTTTCTGATGATGTGGGTTCGTTATTTTTTTTTAGAACAGATGATTGAAACCTGGTGACCTGAAAGTGTGCAACCTGTCTCAATCTCAACGATACTATGCTATACTATTATACTATTATCTATACTATACTATTATATATACTATACTATTATATATACTATTATACTATTATCCTATTATCTATACTATTATACTATTATATATACTATACTCTACTATTATCTATACTATTATACTATTATCTATACTATACTATTATTTATACTATTATCTATACTATACTATTTATACTATTATCTATACTATACTATTATTTATACTATTANTACTATACTATTTATACTATTATCTATACTATACTATTATTTATACTATTATCTATACTATACTATTTATACTATTATCTATACTATACTATTATATATACTATACTACTATATATACTATTATACTATTATCTATACTATACTATTATCTATACTATACTATTATCTATACTATACTACACTATTATACATACTATACTATACCATTATATGTACTATTCTATGCTATTATCTATACTATACTGTTATATATATATTATACTATACTGTTATATATACTATTACATTATACTGTACTATAGTAGTTACACTATTATGTATACTATTATACTATACTTTACTGTTATATGTACTATTATACTATACTGCTATGCTATACTATACTATACTATACTATGCTATAGTAGCTACAGGTGAGTTATTCGGATGTTAGATGAGTCTTTTTGACTCCTGTCGACTCTTCACACTTTGACTGTAAATCTCAGGATTTTATTTAGTAACTCAGAGTTTTAACATAATTTCTCAGCTCTACACAAAAAAGGCAGAAATGTAACTCCGCTTTTCTCACACGTGTTTTTTTCTTCTTCCTAATGTTTTGCTTGATCAGCATGTTTTCCGGACCGAACCGGACCTCCTCCTTGAGGCAGCAGCCTTCAGCGTGTTGATGCAGTGTTGGGTGAGTGGTGGTGTTGTCATGATAGAAGCAGGACACAGACGACAGAGCAGCTTCAGCCACAGCTGGATTTATCATCACTCAAGGCTCTCAGGGTTTCACATTCAGCTACACACAGAGTGAAAGTGGAAGAAGAAGTCAGGTCTCTACTGGTCTGGAGGAAACCAAGCCGTCAGCGCTGGGTCTGGGAATTCTTTTTGCTGGTTCGGAAGAAACCCTGTGGAAGAAGAAAAACATGAAAAACGGCTCTATTGATCTCTGTAATGATCTGTCGATCTATCTATTGATATTTTGATCTACCCAGTGATCTATTTATTGATCTATCGATCTATCTGTTGATCTATAATCCCTTGGTCATGTCTGTTTTTCTCGACCTGCTGCGGCTGTTTGATGTTATGAAAAAGTCACTTTGATGTTGAGACAAAACTTGTGCGTTCTGCTGAAGACAGAATCCTCCGTTAGAGGGTTAGAGGGTTAGTGGGTTGGGTTTAGGATTAGGATCGGCGTCCTGAGCTGGGTTAGGGTTAGAGGTTTAGAGGGTTAGAGGATTAGGGGGTTAGAGGGTTAGGGGGTTAGGATCGGCATCCTGAGCTGGTTTCAGATGAAGCCATAAAAGAAGAAAACTGCTTTTCTCTACAGTTTGTCAAATCAGGACTGCAGCTCTTTTGACATCTCGTTTGTCTTTAAGTTTTCATGGATTCAAACTAGAAGGAACCAGAAGTGTTGTGACTTCTCTGATGAAGCTGAAGACCAAAGTTTCACTGTCACTCATTTGTAATCGTATTAACGTCCATTCAGGTCGACGTGGAACACACAGGAGAGAAAACAGAACCCTGCTGGTACCACCTGACAGGTAACGACTGCTGATCAGATTCACCTGTGAGCTGCCAGCAGGAGAACCTCAGACAGAACCCAGAGTTCAGACAGAACGTTCTGCTTTCTGTAACTTTGCCTCAAAGAGTGAAAGATTCCAGAAGAACCTGCTGGTACCAGCTGACCCGGCAGCAGGATGTTCTTCATCCTGGTTGGAACCTTTTGTTGGACTCTGGTGGTTCTGGTGAGTCTCTGATTTACTTCTGTTTAACCCTCTGCCCCAGCTCAGGGGTAGTAACCCTCAGATCTGCCCCTGCTGCCCCCTGAGCCTCAGCGCTACACACCACTGAAACAAACGGAGATCATCTGTTGAGCTGCAGGTATGTAGAAGTTCTGAACTGAGGAGCTTTTGGTTTTGTTCATCTCTGGAGCAGAGAATGAGTGTTTCTGGGGTGTGGTTGGGCTTCTGCTGATTTAATGGACTTTTGTCTGAGATATTTTCATGTTGGGTTCTGATTTGGGTTGTAGCTGACCCGATTAAATCGATGGCACTGAGTTTATGGTTCTGTGTGGTTTTGTAGTGAGGAAGATGAACTTCCTTTAGATTGGTGGAACTTGTGCGTAGTTTAAAGTGACGGCTGGAGAAGAGCCTCCATCTGCTGTCTGACACCGGACCGGGCTCATCCCGAGTCAACAGAGGACAGAAATGTGAAATAAGAGGTTTTATTTGCTTACAGCAGCCAGAGAAGAAGAAGCTCAGCTCATAACACCTGCACAGAGCTCACACAGGTGTGTCAGTCCCACCTGCCGACCTCATTGTGTGGAAGAGTCTGAGCTGCAGACAGAAAAGAGGAAAGATGGAACTTTGTTAGGTCTCTGTACACAGGTGGAGAACATGCTGTCATGTCTGTCTATGTGTATGTATCGCAGTCCAAATTAAAATCCAGGCGGGTTTTAAATCCGACTGGGCAGAATTCCAATTTAGATTTGATCTAAATAGACCAAACTGAAATCGTCCTTATCACAAATTGAGATTGTCGGCCTGCTGAGGCAGGTTTAAAATCTGACCACACCAAATTAAAAATCTGAATTAAATCAGATTATAAACTTGATTTGGCCTCGACCAAATTCAAATTATTCATCTGTACGTAGTGTTTGTACTCATCCTGTGTGACTGTTAAACACCACAACAGCTCTTCATGTGTTGGAATAAAGGTGTTAGCGTGGCGGTGATGTCAGATTAGCACCTGGCCAGGTGTCACACCTCACCACGTATCTGTCACAGTCCAAAGTGAAATGTGTCAGGCAGGATCGCTATCTCATCATGATATCAGAAGGACTTTAACTTGGTCTGGGCCAGATCAAAATGCTAGTTCTGGCCAGACACACTTAAAATCTCCCTGGATTTTAATTTGGACTGTGACACACATACGGTCATGGAAACATGATCAGACCACCTTGTTTTCTTCAGTGTCTTGTTCACGTTAATGCCTGGTACCACTAAAGTTCCATTACCTGAAGAATACAGTGAACAGGACACAACCTGCAGCTGATCCATCGTCCTTTCTGTCCTGTGTGACCTGCTTCAGCTTCATGTGTTCCCTGTAGGGTCCATAAGAGGCCGTTTCATGTC